TTGAACCTGGGATCTCCTTGTAGCAAAACAATAGTGCTCACCACACCTTCACTCTGTGGCTGTGATGATCTTTCTGTATGGAGTTTGCATGTTCCCTCCAGCTACTCTGGCTTCCTCCCACAGTCCAGAAGCATGCTTAACCCTTTCATGCATGACGGTCACTACAGTGGACAGCTATGAAAATGTCATTTTCTATGATAATGGATGACTGCATGCTATACGTATCAAATCGGATGAAAATATTCGAATTGAACATTTAGTAGCTGTTTTCTTCCATTGTTCAAATTGAACCCCATTTACACAAACTGACCACAGGAGGCAGCAGTAGAACGACTGCTCCTAAAAATCACAGGACTTCGGTGGCATCATTTTAACAGTCGATGGTTGTCATCCAGATGTGTGCTCTCTGTGTGTGTGTGTGTGTCTGAGAGTGTGGACAACAGAGCAGATGTTAATGTATGACGGTTTAACAGCTTTTCCACTCACATACATGCTTGTTTCCATATATTAAAGGGGACATTAAGAGAAATACAGATTTTCAAGGACTTGATCATAGACCTAGCCCAGGCTTGGACAAACTTTTTGACCCGTGGGCCACAATTGTCCTAAAATTGAACAGGGGGGTCAGGTCAGGTCAGGGGTAGATGGAGTGAGCGTTGGTGTGAACTAAGATAAATGTAATCTAAAAGTCATACACAAAGGTTAAAATGCTAAAATGCTTTTATAATTTTTACACGCCATCTATTGGGGAAATGTGGGTATTGCAGTGTAAAGGCAGAGGTATAATGATAATATAAATAAATTATATAATTTGGAAAAGTTTGGTGGGCCGGATTAAAAAAGCAGAACGGACCACATCTGGCCCCCGGGCCTTAGTTTGCCCATACCTGACCTAGCATTTTCAAAGTGTTTAATTTGTGCGGCTCCTTCCATGGAACCAGATAACTGTGCTTATCGTCTCTAATTCAAACCCACACACACACTGACACACTGATGAACTGCCATTAAAAGTATGATTTATTACTTTGTCACTTTATTTATTCGCATAATTATCAAAATTCAAAATTCAAGTTTGATTCAAAGGTTTGAATTATTGAGTATACATATATAAATTGCGTAACTTACTTTTAAGAGGTGCAGCGTTACAAATCAGGCAGGTAGTGAGTGGTCAGGTTTATTATAGGAAATATTGTGCAAGAGAATTGTGAGGGCTGTGGCTGTGAATTCAGGGCGAAGGGGTAGGTACGCTTACATCGTGTGGCTGTGAGTTTCCAAGTGTTGAGTGGTGCTCGATAAAGAAGTGGCAGTGGTGGCCAAAATCCCAGATGTGCAAACACAACAACAAGGCAGCGAGTAGTAATGCAGCAAATTGGCAACAAAGAGGGAAAAACAGGAACTAACTCAGGGACATGAATCAATGAAAAGGTAACAGGAAGACCACCACGTTACCACTGTGCCAGGTCAGACGCTCCGACACTGAATCCTGGTGGAGCTGCAGCTTAAGTACTGCACTTGCTCAATTAAAGGCGACGCCCACCAGTGCTCTGCCTCATCAGCTCTGGGGGGAAAAACAAACAGCAGCAAAACAAACAACCCAGGACATAAATATAACAAAAACACACAGCCAACAGCCAACGTAGACGGATGAAAAATACACTGAAAAAGATGGAAAATAAAAAAAAAAATTAAGAAATTATTGTTTTGGCGTTATTACGTTTAAAATGGAAGACATGAGTAAAGGTTGGATCCTCAAGCACAAGCACGTTCACAACCTGTAGGTGCAGAGGTCAAAGTCTGTGGTGCGCCTCCTCAGGATGAAAGGACAAACTGCAGCCACTGCCAGTAACCACAGACACAGATACCTCTGCCTTTTTTAGTTTCTCTCTCATCTTCACTTAGCTCTGATCTATGAACAATATCCCAAAGGCCCGAAATAGGACTTTGTCCTCCGATACTCGGCTTTTTTTCAGAGAAAAGAAAACACACTCTATTTCAGAACCTGGATCAGAACAAGGGCTTAACATTTCCCTCCACCCAGAATCAATATCTCAGTGTAACTCCTACTCCGACGTTTACTCCTGTCTCCAGTCGTCTGGATTTGTTTGCATTTCATTACGTATTATTTCCCTATCCGAAAATGAGCCCAAACTCTCCAGGACAGGATGATGTCAGGTCTGGAGTGTGGAGTCAGAAACAGCGCCAGTTGAAACGCTGTGCCACACACACTCCACGCACTCAGACGTGGCGAACAACAACTTCAGAATTTGCCCAAACACCGGCTACGTGCTGAGATTAACGGCGGAACTGGAAGAATAAAGAGAAACGGTGAGCGTGAAGATAGTAGTGGAGCGCTGACTGACTGACTGACTGAGGGAGAGAGGGAGGGAGAGCGAGCGAGCGTTCCTGGAGGTGGCAGAGGAAATGTCACGCCGCCTCTGAATGTGGCGTGAATAAGCTGCTCTGTGCTGAGTGTTTACCTGCCTTTGATCAAATGCTGTCGCTGCGACGCCAGGCTTTAGTTTCGCTGGAGTCACGTCCAGAGTCGTGATCAGACTGTGGCACCGCCGCACAGCACCTTCTCTATGGTTTCATGTCAGAATAAACAGGTTAATAACAGACGACGACAAACATGGTACGCTAAGATTATTGATAATATTTTCCATTGCTAAAGTACAATTTCAATGTCGATCAATCACAGGTTAGCTGTAGATTAATCAAGATTAATTGTGATTAATCGAGCTTGTTGGTACTGTCGGAGCCAATGACAATCTGGCCTGGGAGAAGATAATCTCAGATGGGCTCTTTCGATCTCTCCTGTTCCATAATTTGGGTGGCCCTCTACCCTGGGTTTGGGACACCCCCCCCCCCTATCTGCAGTCCTGGGTACTGTATCTGGAGAAAGCTGAAATACTGGATGAAATGTTTTCGCTTCAGGGACAAAAAATGACATTTTGTAATATTTCTCTGCAATTAATAGATCGAGTGACGAGTCAAAAAGTCTTGCCAGTTAAATGGTAATTGAAACTCAACCGTGCAGGTTCATTTATGGTCAGCAGGCTACGCTATAGATCAAGTTCACTGTGATTCAGTGATTTTCCAGGGTTTTAGCTAAGGGTCCATTACGAGGAACAACAGAATTGATTTATAGTATATTGTATTTCCATGCTCACAAGAACTGCTTAGCTGACATGCTAACAGCTAAGCACATGTGTTCATATGACTGTTCCCCTACTCAGGATGTAAGATGTTTAAATTTCATAACAGTGTTCATGACAAAATTAGCACAGAAATAATAATAATAATAATAAAAGTAATACATTTTATTTCTAGGCGCCGTTCTGTCACCCAAGGACAAAAACACATACATAATACAAAGCTCCATTTTGAACCCTCCAAAGAGCCTGCTTGAACAGGAAGCTGCTGGTTCATCCTCCTCACTGGGACACAGTTCTGTGGCTGCGTCTCCTCCTCTCCGTACTCAAACTCATATCTAAAAATATACATCATCTCCGTTGATGTTAAAAGTGAGTTTTCCCAAACTTTTTCACTTGATTCGTTGTGAACAGCAGGTGCATGCGCCCGCCACTTCCTGTGGCGTTTTGATCTATTTTGTTATTCTGGTAAAGGCCCTAGTAAATAGCACTGGACCTCCTGCCGTGAACCCACTCTGTGTGAGTTTCTAAAACTGTGATACGGACCGAGAGGAGTCTTTCCCTGGTTGAACGTGAGTTAAAAGCTGGTTTCATCAGATCTGACGTCATCGTCTCAGACAAACATGGGAGTTTCAGGGAGTTTCAGATGAAGCAGCTGCTGCTGATGAAAACATCTTCCCAGCTTGAGACGTTTTTATCAATGACAGGGTTGTGTTTGAGTCATGAGCTTGGCTGGAGTGAGTCTGTGTTAGGTTGAAGTTAATCACAGTTGAATGAAGATTTCCTAAAGCCATCTGACACTTCTAAGGATCTGACACTCGTTAAGAAAATGTATATTTACATTTGAATTGAATTCATCTCATCATATAATCTCCAAATGCTAGGTTACTTCTAAGACACAGTAGGGGTCTTAGTTTAGGGGGGTCTGGGATGACACCTACTGGTGGATGGATGGACAGTAGGATATGTCAAGGGATGGGGGATGGATGGATGGATGGATGAATGGATGGATGGATGGATGAATGGATGGATGGATGGATGAATAGATACTGATGGTTGGGTGGATGAATAGATTGATGGAAGGATGGATGGATGGATGAATAGATAATGGATGTATGGGTTGATGAATAGATGGATGGATGGATGGATGGATGAATAGATAATGATGGTTGGGTGGATGAATAGATTGATGGAAGGATGGATGGATGGATGGAAGGATGGATGGATAGAAAGATGGATGAGTAGATAATGGATGGTTGGGTGGATGAATAGATGGATGAATGGATGGAAGGATGAATGGATGGATGGATGGATGAATCGATAATGGATGTATGGGTTGATGAATAGATGGAGGGATGGATGGATAGATGGATCCATGAATGGATGGGTGGATGGATGCAAGGATGGATGGAGGGACGATAGATAGATAGATAGATGGAAGAATAGATGGATGAATGAATGATGGATGGTTGGGTTGATGAATAGATGGATGGGTAAATGGATGGATGGATGGATGGATGGATAAATGGATGTGGATGGATAA